TGACCGCTATGAACTGTCTCTAGAAGCTTGAGAGCAAATCTAAGAAAAAGCCAGAGGAGCAGCAGATCCAGAGAGGAAAAACCCAGCTCCCATTGGAAGGATCTGCTGCTTAGTCATGAAACTTCTTGAGTCTGCAGACCAGGTGAAGGATGAAGCCATGAAGCGTGAGGTTAGAAAAAAGCAGATTGTCCCTCTTGCCTTCAGTAACTTTACTGCCTAGTGGAGTGCCTGGCACGTGGTAGGTGCTTCCTCAACTACTGATGGAAACTATTGAGAATCAAATTGCTGGGAGAGAAGGAGGAGGCAGCTCCTGAGGTGACTTCTGGAAGGGATACTACCAGTAGCGAACATTTCCTGAGAAGCCTACTATTCGTCAAACACTTATGATTAGTGCTCTGAGAGAAGCCTATGTGAAGAAAAGCTTGCTTTCTATGCATCAGATACCATGACTGGAACCCTATAAGAAGCCTACTGTGTGCCGGGCATCATGCCCAGAAATTATAAGAAACTTAATGTGCATCTATCTAGTCCTCTGTAAGAGAGATTTGTGGTTTGTGCAACAGGTATTGTCCCCAAGTATTCCGGAAAAAAAAACCTAGTGTGTGCCAGACATACTCCACGAGAAGTTTACTCTGCACCAAGTACTGTGTCTGGCATCCTGTCAGAAAGCTAATGTCTATCAGTACTGTGCCCCATACCATGAGGGAAGCCCATGATTCCAAATACTGTGTGCTCTTAAAGAAGCCTACTATGTGCCAGGCATCCCATTGAAAACCCTGCTGTGTGCAAGACAACATCCCTAGCACCTGTGAGATGTATACTGTGCATTAGGCACTGTGTCCGGCACCCTGTGAAAAACCTACTGTGCCTTAGTACTGTGCTCAGCACCCTAAAAGAAGCCTACTATTTACCAGGCACTGTGGCTAGCCCTCTAGAAGCTGCTCTTTGTCAGGCACTGTGTTCCACCTTCTGAAAGACCTCTCCTGGGTGCTTTGCTCAGACCTCTGGGACAAGCCTAATACGGGCTGCCATTCTGTGAGAAACCTACAAGTGTACCGGAAGTTATGACACAGGCAAGTTCTCAGGTCACAGGAATCTAGAAAAGGAAAGGTCGGCAGAGAGCCAAGGTAACCATAAAAAAAAAAAAAAAGACGCACTTCCTGGCAAGGCTGGAGGCTTTCTACACACTAATGGCTCTCAGGGAGCCTCACCCTACTCAGAGAAATTCCTCCCATTTCCATGTGGGTGGAAAGCAAAGAGGCAGCATTCATGATATAAGGACCAGGAATGGGAACAACAACAACAACAAAAAAGAATAAACTGTGAGGTCTTGGGTCAGCAATTCCAAAATATCTTGTAGCTAAGTTGGTCCAGCGGAACTGGGTTTGCTGGTGTCTTAAATCCACAGAGATTTTCGACAGCAGCAGAAAACAGAGGGACCACTGCCTTGGCCCTCGGCCCACTTTGCTGCTGGGAAATTATGTATACACAAGCAGTTTGGCACAACTAGAAATGAGCTGGGCCTCGGGCTTCTCAGAGCTAACTAGTTCTACTGGAGATGGTCCTAATGACCCCATGAAAAGAAAAGCCAAGGGTGCTTTTAATGCGAGCATGACGTGATGGTGGCCAGGCCCATCCTAAAGACACTTCTGGACCTGATATAGTTTCATAAAACAAGGTCTGTGCAAACTTCCTACATAGTCATGGATAACCTTGAGCTTCTGATCCCCCTGCCACCACCTCCCAACAGATGGAACTAAAGACATGTACCACCACAACTGTTTTATGTGGTGATGAGGATCAAACCCTGGGCTTTGTGCATGCTTGGGAAGTGCTCTATAGAGTTATGTCTCTAACTCTGGGCCTGGAACATTTTCACTAGATCTGATCCCAATTTGGTTTGAGTAGGTTCCATTCAATAGTGTCCATTCATTTCATCTCAGCAATGGGGTGAAATGGCAGGACTCTATAAATTGAAATTCTTCCCTGAAGGAATTTTTCTATCCTGGAAAGAAGCAAATGTACAGAAATACTCATTCACAGCTGGGACACAGACAGACCACAGACATGAATCCTACCATTTTTCTTGCTTAGTGAACCCGTAGGTTTTAGGGGTTACTTGCAGAGCTTTACTGAGACATTACTTTTAAAACATGGTTAACTCATCTGTGTGACCATATCACTAACCCCCCCCCCCCCAGTATGGGTGATGTCTCACAAAATTTCATTCTCTAGAGTTCCCACCCAATAGCCAGTCTCCTAAATACTGTAGAACCCCAAGACAATGTCATGGGGAAAAGGAAGAAGCTAGAATCTTAGGCAAGGGGCTGATTAGCCCTCTTCCTTCTCTGAAGGGAAGTTGATGGGCCCAGTCTTGTGAGGGTTCCTGCTCTGATTTCAATGTGGCAGTAGCTACATTATCCCCAGACGACAGAGTTCTGCTGCACACTTGCTGAATCAGTTGAGCAAAAGTGGCCAAGCACAAGTACCCTAGACCCCCAGAGATGTTATGTGCCTCCACTCAGCTCCTCCCCTCCCCTGACACCCACGTGAATCTTGACTTTCAAAAAGATTCAATGTAATCTAGAGGGAACTGTATGAATTCTTTGATCCCTACAAAACCACAAACCCTATCTCGTGTGGGTTAACTTCAGAAAAGCCCAGAAAGAGCTGTAGGGGAAAGCAGGTAGCTGAATCCAGGGGAAACCTATGATCTCTTTCTAACCTTGAGGTCAGTAGGGTAGGTTCTGGCTTGGCTCAGTTTCTGCAGGAAGACTAGAGAGAACAATGCGTGCTCACCCTGACCACAGCTTATCCTGAAAAACCCTAGTCTGCCTCTGAAAACCCCAACTGGTTTTTGGATGTGACCTCTCAAATTATAATTGTCGTGCTCTCCGAAGGGACTCTGGGAGTAAGCCCCTTGACCTAACTAAACTCGATTATCTTCTGTCAACAAATGAGAATGATGATGGCTCCATAGTCATAGGAGTGTCATGAGACACAAATGGAACTGACCTGACATTCCTCAGCCTAGGGCATAGTGAATGCTCATGAGTGTAACACTCTTAGAAAGGTCAAGGGCATCCAGCCTCCACTTTCATGGCTGCTAGTAGCCCCATCCATCTTGAATATATCTCCAGTTGATGGCTAGCCTGGGACTACACAATCTATGTGTCTGTGTTCATGCTAGCGCTGAGCTGTTTTTATTACTATGGCTCTGTAATATATTATGAAAACAGGTGTTGTATCACCTGCAGCATACTTCTCCCTTGCTGAGGGTAACTTCAGCTACCCATGGGTTTTTGTACCTCCATATAGATTTTAAGACGGTTTTTTTTTATTATTTCTGTTTAAAAAAATGAATTGAGATATTAATTAAGATTGCACTGAATTTGCAGGTTGCTTTTGATGGGATGGCCATTTTCACAACACTAACGCTTTTGACCCATGAGCATGGATGGCCTTACCATCTTCTAAGGTCTTCCACCATTTCTTTCGTTGGTGTTTGAGCTTTGTGTTGGAGCAGCTCTTTATTTCTTTGGCTATAATTGCTTCAAGTTATTTTGGAGGCTCTTTTAAATGTTATTGTGTCCCTAATTTCTTTCTCAGTACATTTATCATCTGTATGTAACAAGGCCACTGATTTTTAAATGTTGACTTTATGCCCTGTCATTTTTCTCAAAGTGTTTTTAATGTCAAAGAGTTTTCTGGTAGAGTCTTTAGAATTCTATCTACATAAAATCATATCACCTGCAAGCAAGGACGTTTTGACTTCTCCCTTTCCTGTTTGTATTCTGTTTTATATATTGCCTTCACTTGTCTTATTGCTCTAGTTAAGTCTTCAAACAATATAGTAAAATAGAGTAAGAGCAGGAGACATCATTAGCTTAGTCCTGATCTTAGAATGCTTTGACTTTTTCTCCATTTAGCATGATACTGGCAATAGATTTGTTATAGAAAACCTTTATTACATTAAAATATTTCCCTCATCCCTAGGCTCTAGAGTTTTTAAGTAGAATTTTTGTCAGAGGCATTTTATGTACCTACTGAGATGATTCTTGAGGCCATTTCTGTGATGAATTACACTTATTTGTTTATGTGTTGAACCATTCCTATTATGTGTTGACCTGTTATTTCTGGGATAAAGCCAACTTGGCCATGATGCATATTCTCTTTGGTATGTTCATGGATTTGTTTGGGAGCATTTTATTGTGAAATTTGTAACTATGTTTATCAGGAAGATTAGTTTATGATTTTCCTTTTTGTGTCTCTATCTACTTTTGAAAATGGAAATAAGAAATGCATAGGTAAATGAATGAAACTAGAAACAAAATAGACTGAGTGAGGTAACATAGGCATGGAAAGACAAATGTCATGCCCTTTCATATGTGGACCCTAGCATGAAATCTTTAGAGTATGTGTTTAACTTGGACTATCTGGAGAATCCAGCAAAGTAGAAATGGGCCATTTGGGTGGGTAGTTAAAGTAGAAGAAATAATCTAAATGATATGAAAACAAAGAAGGGGAATTCTGGGGGGTGGAAAACTTAAGCAGGCATGGGGTGGCAGAATTGGGAGGGGAACCTAGCAGCCCCATAAGCCAGGGAAAATGTTGATTTTCTGACTCTCTGCAGTACCTTGGACAGCACCCTACATGTCAAAGGTATTCCTTTAAAAATCATTATTGGCTGAAAGATTAGCTGATTGGCTTGTGGCGAGCCTGATCCAAATATCTTATTTGTTTCCTCATTGCATTCTCCCCACAAAGAAATGCATTAATTCTGCTTTACAAAAGAGAGCACTAAGGCTCAGGGAACTTGAGTAAGCGTGGGGCATGACCTCTATGGTTGGCTCCTCTCTTGTTTCTTGTTTTCTCCTACATCCAATGTCCATCCCTTTTGTCTTTCTAAGTGAGGACTGATCATCTTATCCCAGAACCTCTAAAAAAAGAGTTTGATTTCTGGCAGGTTACATCACTTTGCTTTGTCTCTTGCTGTGCAGGATTTCAGCTGAAGGTGTGGACATCGTTTTGGACTGCCTGTGTGGGGACAACACTGGCAAGGGACTCAGTCTCCTCAAACCTCTGGGGACCTACATTTTATATGGTGAGTGCATGCAGAAGAGAACAAGATTAACAAGAGTAGGAAGTACCCACTGTGCTCACCACACCCTGCAAGGTGAAAGGTTAATGTACTGGGAACTGGGCAAACACCAGAGTGTCCAGCCTTTTAGAACATTTATTTATTATGTTTTATTGATATTATTGCCATAAATCATAAAACTGACTTATAGGTCTACCATCCCATCCCCTACGGTGTCATTTTTTATGTTTTGCTTTATTTTGTTTTGTCTGAGACATGGTCTCACTATATTGCCCAGGATGGCCTTCCACTGCTTCAGCCTTTGAGTTATAAGATTACAAGTGTGAGCTATCATTCCTGGCCACATCTGTGATGCTCTTGAGTGTGCAAAAAGTTATGAAAATTAGAAGCAGATTTTCTTCAGTAAAATGAAAATTTAGCACCTGAAATTCATGTTTTCTCTCTATCTCTCTCTCTCCCTCTCTCTCTTTCTCTCTCTCTCTCTCTCTCTCTCTCTCTTTCTCTCTCTCTCTCTCTCTCTCTCTCTCTCACACACACACAATTTTAAACATTGGTCCGCAGAAACTGCAAAAGGTGTATATAAAGCCAGAGGTCATCATTTCCAAAGCAGAATATTGGAGTGTCTGATGTTTGAGATTCCTAAAAGCTGTGTGCCTTGTTCTAGTAATAGAAAACCTGAGTCTTAATTCTGAGTATTTCATTAGGAAAAAAAATGATTCTAAGGGATATCTAAAGGTTATAAATATCTTAACATCATCAGATCATTATTCCAAAAGAATTGAGCTCACTAAGCACATGGGCAACACTCCTTTGTTGTTCTGGTCATTTCTACCCTGACCACATACTTCCTAGAAAGTAAATAATTGGTTAATATTGTTGATGGGAACCTATAAGGGCCAGTACCATTTTGAGGACATCATATGTGACTAATGGGCAGGTGGACAATTTATTCATCCTTCCTTCTCATTAGCCAGGAGTTATATTTTTGCCTCAATTCCATGATGTCATTTGGGTGACCTTCAACTTGATTGTCTCACAACTATCCAAGTTATTACATTGATCAATTGGTTATATAATGGAAGCCTGGCACTGTGTTCCCTGGGTGTCATCATCCCATCAAAGATAAAGGAATAGTTAACTAGCTGGGTAATAGTTTACCCAGACCAAATAATTAATTTTAAAATATGCAAATTTTTTTTAAAAACATGACTGTTCGCTAAGAAAAATTTATGCTTCCAAATATCTGGTGGCAAGCAGAAAAGTCTTTGGAAAGGGACCATTGTATTGGGATATTTTCTATTCATTCCTTACAACTTGGAACCTTGCAAGGGGGTCCTTTATCTCTGAGCATCTCGGCTTATCTTTCCCAACTGCATCTCCATCTGTCACCTGAATGTCACTTGGCCCAGTTGTCAACATGCAGTTTCCAATATCCGTTGATCTAAAGTTTTAGGGTTTGATTTTTATAAACTCTCTGCCTGGACCCCTTTGGAGCTAACAGATCATCTCACATTCCCTGGATCTCTGAACTTACTGTTCTTTCCTCTACCTTTTCTGTATCTCATTTTCCCCATTCACCCAAGTTTCCCTCCTATTGTTCAATACCAAGGCAAGCCCAGGTCAGAGTCCTAAGCCTCTCACTTGCTAGAAAATCAAATTTGGATCTATGTAGTGGCTTCCTACAGAAGGTAACTTCTTATTTTCAATAGACAGAGCAAATGTTTTATACTATTAAAACATTGGGCTAATCCTTTTTGCTACATACCTGGTTTCTCAAAGGAAAGAAATGGCCACCATGAGAAATGTCCTTTTCTCTAAGAGCTGATGATGCCTTGCCAAACACCCCACTTTGTACCCCACCCCAACATCTCTCTCTTTTCCAAGACTAAAATATGTTTTTTAAGCTGTTGCCATTTGTGCTCAAATGAAATACATGCCACTCTTCTTGCATAAGAAGACATCTTGATTTTTGTGAAAAGTTGCTTGACTTGGGAATCTTTCATTTGCAGGTTCATCCAACATGGTAACTGGAGAGACCAAGAGTTTCTTTAGCTTTGCAAAGTCGGTAAGTCCCCATTGCTGTCTACTAGCTGGTGGGTAACACTGATTTGCATAGTGTGAGTTCCATCTAAAGGCATTGGTCAATGGGCGATGGTGGTACATGCCTTTAATCCCAGCACTTGGGAGGCAGAAGCAGACAGATCTCTAAGTTTGAGGCCAGCCTGATCTACAGAGAGAGTGCCAAGACAGCCAAGGCTACACAGAGAAACCCTGTCTTGAGAAAGAGAGAGAGAGAGAGAGAGAGAGAGAGAGAGAGAGAGAGATTGGTCGATTGCTGGTCTCTCATCTGCTGGGATTCCAATAAGTCCCCTCTCCATTCCCTGCTAACTGCATACAGGCAGGACCAGGTCTTGAGATGTGGTAGTGTCTGTGAATTTTTGTAAAGCTTCCTTTTTATTTCAGTAGAGATTGGTTCAACTATGTGTCAAAAGTGAACTTGGACTTACTTCACTGTAATTTTCTGGCCAGGTTTCTGGTGGCTCGGTAGATTTCTTTGTCCTCATCCAACTGTGTCTGAGATGGGAATAGGAAACTCCTAACTTTAATAATCTTCAAGGATGCGATTACTCTGCCTGCCATTGAGGAGCACCCTCCCTCGCTGCATCTGCTCACATGGATATTCCCATACAGGAATTATCTATATGTGTTAGAATTAAGCTGATTGGAATTGTGCCTTTATTGCTACCCCACCCACTGGAGCAAGGGACTGCTATTTCTTACTAGTGTCAGCTTCTGTCACTATGCTTCCAGTCTCTGGTGCAATCAATGCAACGTAAGTGTTGGGAGAATTTTTTTTTCCCCTGGGGAGACGCGAACACATAAGGTCCTGACAACAATGCAAAGAATGATTCCACTGGAGTCACCCTGAGGAACCATTGAGAGTGTTGCCCTTACTTATTGAGTGTCGGTGAAGAAGTACAGGCAGGGGTGTAGATGACCCTAAAGCAGCTGCACTGGGAAGTGCATAGCCAGCGTGGGTAACAGCTTCCCCATAGCTACATAGATGGAACCCCTTCCTATAGCCTCCCCCAGCTTGTGTTCTCCTAGAACTTCCTGAGACCGCTAGGTCGCATGCAACTAGGGCAGAATTGCGTTACAGGTGGCAGGGATGAGCATCTGGAATCTCGGGTGAGGATCCAAGGATCCTCTCTATTCTCTCCTTCTCTGAGGGGACGTCAACAGCCAACAAGCCTGCTTGTGCACAGGCATGGGTACTGTGATAAATATGGTGGCTATTTTGCTCAGAGGACCATGTTCTATACAATAAGCACCACTACACAGGCATTTTCTGAGCATCTAATGTGGGTTGCATTTGTAGACATCAAGGTATCATGGTAGATGAGACGGGTATGTGACTCCTACACTCTGTTAGGAAGACAGGCCCAACAATAAGGGAACGTGTTAATAGCCTGATTGTGAACGCTCATCCAACCTCAAGTGGGAATAGAAGCAGGATTCTGGAATGGAAGAAGGCAGGATGGAGGGGGGACATTGTGAATGGGGTGGTGAGAGAGCCAGGGAAATGGCATTAAGAATTCACTCTCTGTATATCATGATGAAGTTGTATTAGTCACACTTGGACTGTTTGCCCAGCCCAGCTAACACAGTCTGAGAACTCCCCACAGACATACCTAAGATTTGTCTCTGAGATGATTGTGGAGGCTGTCAGGTTGACAATAAATATTAAACATGCCAAGAATATTTGTATGTTTTTTATGCCGACACCGACTGCCTACATTTTACCCTCAAACATTTGCTGAATCAAGGAATAGTAGTATTCGTTCTATACGTGAGATATAAATGTTAAGGCTTTTGCTCATTTTTTTTGCATAAATGAGTTTAATAAAAGCGTAGGTCAAGAATCATTTGAACTTCAGTGCTTACAGGAGCAAGGGTAGAGTCTACTGAAGGATGCTCTCTATTGCCTGTCCCTGAAGACAGGCTCTGCAGCACTCACAGCTCTTTCGTTGCTGTGGATACAATTTGCATGAGGCTGAAAGACTGCTCTGTGGAATCATGCTGGTCCCAAATTATATACAACTCTAAAAAGTGTTTTCCCCTTTTCTCACCCTTAATGCCCAATCCCAACACACAGTGCTAATGAAATAATGACGGTGTGCCCGTGCTCTGGGAAGGTATTATAACAACACAGCTAGGATGAAGACTCAGATTCCTTTTCCCCAAATGAATGCCATTACACTGTGGAACTGAAAGTCATGAATAAAAGGCCATTGTCTCTCAGAGGCCCGGGTCCACACAGGCTGATTGGCTAGAAGTAAACTGAAGAGAAGGTTTTCTGAGAAATGTAATGATGGCTTTGCTCCAGGAAGAAAATTCTATGCAATCAAGAAAGGCACATTTAGAATTATATAGAGTTTTCACTCCGCTATCTTAATTATGTTCCATCTTCAGATTTCAGCAGAGTGAATGCTTCACATTTTGTTAGGCTTGCAATTCACTCTTGGGCCATCCTAACGATGATTCTTACAGATGAAGTTAACATTTAGAGAGCAATCTGATGTCGAACTTCAAGCCCTTGCTCAGGAAATCTAAAACATGGATTTCAGATTAAGATGACAATTCGATTTGCTTATGCTTATGGCGTACGTGGTAATACACAGTGCTGTAATGGCATGCATCTTGGATGAGCACATTTGCTTTGTACAACAACCTCCCTGTCCCCAAGTATGGTAAGGAAACTGGACACAGGGAGGTTAGGTGAGGTGCCTAGACTTACACAATTATGAGGTGATGCTCAATTATAGAAAATAAACATATATATATATATATGCACATATATATATTAGCACATTGTGTGTGTGTGTGTGTGTGTGTGTGTGTGTGTGTGTGTGTACACCTTGCATGGCATGCATAAAATGGCCAGAGGAAAATTTGGAGGAGTCAGTTCTCTGTTTTCACCATGTAGGTGCCAAGGACCCCACTCCGGTTATCAGGCCTTGTGGCCACCTCCTTTACCACTAAGCCTTCACTAGAGCTCTTAATCACAGCAGCGCAGTAACTGCAGCATCGGCTGGAATGCATGACACAAACATGCACTGAGGTCCTACCAATATGTATGTATTGAGCTTAATCTTGGGGCTCAGGATTTTGAACATTTAGGTTGGGATGCTTATGTTTGGAGAGCAAGTGTAGGGAAGACAGCTTGAGAACAAACATAAATCTCTTATGCAGGTGCTGCCAAATCTAGTTTTATGTGATATTGGACATCAAAACCAGAGATTCATGCATGCTAAGGCACATACTCTACCAACTCAGATATAGCCATAGCCATATACAAGGAATTCTTCACTGATGCCACATTTAACAGAGCTGGGTGTGGGGCAACTCAAGAAGAGCTGTTCATTTGACCATAAACTTCTCGTCACCTGACAAAGTCTGCAGCCACATGAGAGTCATTTATGTAGTCCTGACCTCCTGCCTTTATCACTCCATGCCATGCTCTCTTCTTAACTTACCTTCCTTTCTACCTACCTGCCCAGTAACTAGCCTAGCCATTATGTACCCCAACACGACCTGTGAAAAGGGGAGATGTTCCTGTACTCAACGATCACCTCTATCATGCCTCAATACTTCATTACTATGTAAACTTCGCTATGTTATGGCTCTTTCATCATCCCCACAATCATCCACAGAGCCACAAGCTTTGCCCTGTACCCACCCAGAAGATGCCAGTTTATTTTCTCATTCAAGAAGGAAGAAACATGGAGAAGAATGAGAAGGGAGGTATACAGTTAGGATCAACTCCAGGGTCAATGGTCCCAGTCACACACTTATATTTTATTGACTTGTGGCCTTGAATAAACTGAGGAACTGTATCTGAATGAATAGGGCAAGAAGAGCTTCGGAATTTGGATTGGTGGAGGGAGGGGAGACTTCTTTCAGATTTGGGGATATTTGCATGTAAGTCATAAGATATAAGTTTTATAAATAGCATGTGTGTTCATGTGCAGTGTGCATGTGTGTGTATGTGTGTGTGAGTGTGTGTGCATCTCTATGTCTGTGTGTATTAAGATAGTTCTGTTGTAGCCCAGGCTATTCTAAAACTTAGTATTTAACTGAAGATGACCAAGGACTTCTGATCGTCCTGCCTCTACCTCCTAAATACTGGGATTACAAGAATGCATCTCTACAATGCTCATTTTATGTGGTTCTGGAATTTGAGCCTAGAATTTTGTATGTGCTAAGAAAACACTGCCTCAACTGAGCTACATTCCCAGTATTTTTAGTGTCCCTTCGTGGTATCATGTTAGCACTCAAAACATTTGGCTTTTGAAGCATTTTAGAATGAGGATTTTGGAATAAGGGGTATCTACCTTTCTCTCTCTCTCTCTCTCTCTCTCTCTCTCTCTCTCTCTCTCTCTCCCCTCTCTCTCTCTCTGAGTTAGATTATTCTCACAGCATTTCTGTCTCATATATCCTGTGCAACACCGCAGTGGTTTCAGGAATAGATGCTTAAAATATATCACCAAGACTGCTCGCAGATTCACTAGAATCCACCCAGTTTCAACCTTGGCTTCCCCGGTGTAGACGATGCCCTCATAACACAGGTGATATTGCATGACGTAGCCCCATATTGAAACTTTGGAATCACCCAGAACTTTTCTCTAATTTCAGTGGTGGCAGGTGGAGAAAGTGAACCCCATCAAGCTGTATGAAGAAAACAAAGTCATTGCAGGCTTCTCGCTCCTCAACCTGCTCTTCAAACAGGGCCGCTCGGGCCTCATCCGAGGGGTAGTCGAGAAGCTCATAGGCCTGTACAACCAGAAGAAGATCAAGCCTGTGGTGGATTCCTTGTGGGCCCTGGAGGAGGTGAGCAAGCAACCTTCTGGGCTTATTTCTAGTAGCTTTGATCATCCAAGACAATCTTTTCCTAAACCCATTTTTATTCTCCAGATTTGCCCTAAAGTAGGTGAGCCCAACCTTCTGACATCACATTGCAGCATTGTCACCTACCAAGTGACACACAAGAAACCCACAGGTGAACAACGAGAAAAGAATCACCTCCCCCGCAAAAGAAATCTCATAACATTTTAAGTGAGCTCATGATTTCTGTTGGCGCACATTCATTGAACTCCCTGGCCACATGTGGCCCACAGGTTTGGTATATCTGGATCATGGGGCTTTGAGCCCAAGGATCATTTCAAGTTCCCAAGCGGTTTTCAAATGATGCACTTCCAGCATGTATACATGAGCCCTTTCTTCCCAGCTAAGACACCAAACTTGGATGGATATGCCCAATCCACCTTGATTAGGGATTGGTGTGTACATTGTCAGAACGTGATGAATGTTGCGACCCTATGGCTATATCGAGGTCAGTTCAAGGTAGCTCACAGATGGCAATGATTTATATGCAGACACCGGGTGTTGTGTATTCCCTTGAGACACTGTCAGCTGTCATGGTGGACTCCATAATTCTGTTGGATGTGGTGTTGGACCGACTTCAGAGTTTTGTTGCTGCTGGTGGTATTTGATGATGGTGGATCTATTTGTGTTTGTGTACATTCTTGAACCATGAACAAAATAACCTTCAAGGAAGCTGACGCCAGAACTGGTTGGATTGGTTCATATGGTACTCAAGGAGGAAGGTAGCATTCAAAGAGTCTAGAAATCCTCCAGGACAAGAGAAGAGAAGGAAGTCAGTCATGACAGCTCCTTTTGAGAACAAGGAAAACATGTGGCCTAAGTTTCGGGTGACATTTCAGACCTCCCTCAGTCGTGCAGCCTGGGAAAATGCTTAAGATGGCAGGGGCTGTGTTGTTGGGTTGTTTTTAATAGTTTTTGCAGATGAGGTGCCTTGTTGACTAAGTACTTGATAGAGGTGTATGTGTTTGTGTGCGGGGTTGTGGGGGGGGGCTGTGTGAGTGTGTGCACATGTGTGGAACACTCACCTATGTGTGCAGGTGTGAAGGCCAGACATCAAGACTGAGTCTTTTCCTCAATCACTCTCCACTTTATAATTTGAGACAGTCACCCAGGGAATCTGGAGCTGGGCATTTGGGCTAGACTGCTGGCCAGTGAGCTCCCAGATCTGCCTAGCTCCCCTCACCCAACTCCAGTGCTGGGTTTACAGATGGACACCACTGCGCCCACCTTTTATGTCGGCGCTGGAGGTCCTGACTCAGGCCCATGTGCTTGCACAGCAAGTGTGTAACCTACTGAGCCATCTCCTTGGCCCTGGAACAAGAGCTCTTAAACCTTGGGGAGCCACGGAAACCTTTGCCACCTAAGTTGCAAACACTAAGTTCTATGGATCAGGTGTGTGTGTGTGTGTGTGTGTGTGTGTGTGTGTAAAAGTTAACTGGAGCTAGACCAGTGAACTTGAACTATACACATATATGTCATTCTAATATTGAGATATTAGGGGCAGCCTTAAAAAAAATGAACAGCCACCGAAAGGCCTTGTTTGTTGTGATAACTGAAATAAATATTCAATACAGGACATTCCTAAATCAGCCCAGCATATGTAGAAAACAATGGGTACATCAACATTCCAGAGAAGGATAATGCGGTTAACATTCAGGCTTCCTTCCTTCCCATCTTTTTTTCTATTGCAGATGCTCATTGTGATTCGATTTATTGCTAAAGTAAATCAGACAATAATGTGTTCTTTGTCCTGTGTAATTGCCAAGATGGTTGGCCTCTTGTCATCATTTCATTGAAAATCATTTCAATTTAATGAATCAGATATCTGTACAGTATTCACTGTGGCATGCCAGAGAGAAACAGGAATGATTAGGACCAACTCTTATCCAGGAGGCACAGAAAAGACTTAAGGAGGGACCCAGCAAATTTAGTAGCCTGTGAGGATTAAGAACTAACCTCAAGACCCAGCTATACTACTCCTGGGCATATAATCAAAAGATGTTCTACCATACCTCAAGGACACTTGCTCAACTATGTTCATAGAAGCTTGATTTCTAATAACCAGAAACTGGAAAAAACCTAAATGTCCCTTTACCAAAGAATAAATAAAGAAAATGTGGTACATTAACACAATGGAATAGTACTTGGCTACTAAAAACGAGGATGTCATGAAATCTGCGGGAAAAATGGATGGAACTAAAAAAGATCATCCCGAGTGAGGTAACCCAGATCCAGAAAGACACACATGATATGTACTCACTCATAAGTGGATATTAGCCATAAAATAATATAGATAACCACGCTACAGTCCACCGACCCAAAGAAGCCAAGGAGGGCCCAAGAAATGATGCTTGAATCTCACTCAGAAAGGGGAATAGTCATCTGAAGTAGACCGAGGGAGGGAACTAGGTGGCAGAGGGGTTGGGGAGAGCTGGGGTTGGGAAGGAGGACTGGGAGAGAGAATGGAAATTGAGCAGGGGGCATCTATAGGACAGAGGAGGATCCCAGGAGTCTATGTGGGTGACCTTAGCTGAGACTCCTACCAGTGGGGGATGTGGAGCCTGAGGAGATGGTGATCTCCTGTAGCCAGGTGGGTGGAACAGCAACTGACCAATAACAGCCAGCCCAAAACTTGCCTCCTTTACAATAAGTGTAGGGATAAAGATGGAGCAGAGATTGAGGGAATTCCCAAGCAATGACTGACCCAACTGGAGACCCACCCAGCCTCCACTATTAATGATACTACGTTATTCCTGCAGACAGAAGTCTAGGGTAATTGTCTTCTGAGAGGCTTCATCCAACAGCTGATTGAAACAGACACAGAGACCCACAGCCAAAAAAATAGGCCAAGCTCAGGGAGTTTTGTGGAAGAGTGGGAAAAAGGTTTGAGGAAATCAGAGGAGCAGAAAAAAATAATTTTTAAAAACTCTGAAAGTAGGTCCAGGTGAACTCAGGAGTTCTCCAGGTATTTGACACCATTCCTTGCTCACAGCTGCACTAGAGTCTCTAAATTCCTACTATGTAATCATTGTGTATTTGGTTCATGGGGGATGCTGAAGATACAGTGAATAGGTAGATAAAACCCCCGGGCTTCGTAGAGCTTATATTCAAAGGAGGATGAAAGATAAGAAAATACTGAAGCAGGCAGAAACACATGGAAAAATGGCTACCTGTGATCAGCTCTTACAAGGGATGTGTAAGCTGTGTCTTAATCACCATGATCACCTGCCAACCTGAGATGAAAGTGTCAGGCATGACAGGGTGTATCAGGTGATGGTGGTGAGACAGTGTGGGACTGGCTGATGTTATCTTGGATAACAAGGAAGCAGAAAGCAATGCCAGAGCCAAAGACCACCCTTAGTGCCCTACAAATACCAGATGAACCCAGCCTCCTAAAATAGCATCACTAACCTAGGAATAAACGTCAGAAATATGACCTGAGGGGCACATTTTAGATTCAAGCGATAGTAGAAGAAAACTGTGGGAGACGAGGGCACTTAGTTCCCACACAGACATGTTTCCCAAACTCTTTTTTATCATTGTCCTTTAGGGACCTTTTTCAGACTTTCTTTTATTCCCCCTGAAATTTTAATGGTGTGTGTGTGTGTGTGTGTGTGTGTGTGTGTGTGTGTGTGTGTGTATGTGTGTGTGTGTATTTGTGCTTTATGTATTAAAATTGTTATTTTTCATCCACCAAGATCCCCTTTCACTCTTTGGGGCAATATGATGGCCAATGAATGTACGCACTGCAGAGTGGCTCAAACAAAAGAGAGTCTCTTGGAATAGCATCCTTTCAGAAAATACTTGAAGGAGGTAAAGCCTTAAACAAAAGAATTTCAGACCAAGAGATTCCCAAAACCAAAGAGCAGAGAACAGAACATCTCAGGGAGTTGCACAGGTAAATTATTCTGAGCCAAGAAGAGATGGTGCAAAGAGAGCCAGGACAGGGCATCAGGGATAGGCCAGACAGAAACTTTCATTAGTTTTCAGTACCAACAAGGTCAAGGTAAAGAGGGGCTGCTTTCTGGTCCTCAAGGCATGATCTTCTCAGGAGAAGCCGGAGTTGCTAGTCAGGACCCTGGGCAATGATGTAATTGAGAAGAGCTCCGTGAAACCAAGGAATGGGAAAGACAAGATGGGAGGCCAGCAAGCCTCCCAGTGGAAAACTATGCTTCCATGGGCAGGGTCTAAGAAAGGCAACTGGACTTGCCATCAGTTTTACTGTTTGGGGGGCTGCTGCAGCTCAGTGCATGCTGGAGGAACATTAGCAATGAATGGAAGACTAAGTCTACCCAGGCTGCTGGGAAAAGATACACAGGTCCAACATTAGCCAGCAGCAGAAAAGCCGTGCTGGAAGCTCTCTTGACTGAGCTGTGTGTGGGCCTGGGACTTGGAAAGTCTGGGATTGACTTTGAATCTCCAGATGTCCTTCCATCTCTACACCTAGTTCTGTTTGTCTGAGGTGTACAGGCTCCTCTGTGGTAGTGTGAACAAGAATGACCATCATAGGCCCATAGATTTCAATGCTTAGTCACCAGGGAATGGCACTATTTGAAAAGATTAGAATAATTAGGAAGTATGGCCTTGTTGGAGGAAGTGTGTTGGCAGAAGTGGCTTTTAAAGTTTCAAAAACCTGTATGTGGCCTAGGCTTGTGCTCTCTCTCTCTCTCTCTCTCTCTCTCTCTCTCTCTCATATACTGCTCCTGCACTTGCCTGGATACTGCCATAGTCCCCACCAAGACAACAAACCCTCTGAAACTGTGACCAAGTCCCAACTAAATTCTTTCTTTCATAAGAATTGCATTGGTCATGGTCTCTCTTGACAGCAACATAACAGTAACTATGACATTCTCATTTCCACCTCACTTTCTCCTGAGTGTTAACACACACAAACACTGAACCTGGAACCTAGTCTAAATCCCTGTCTTCTCAGAATAAGTCAAGTC